TATTTGTGCACACCCTCCCAGGGAAAAGATGGTAAACCCATTTTATAAACCCTTTTCTCCTCCCAAGCCCAAGGCCCATCGTATTTGTCCACACCCTCCCAGGGAAAAGCTGGTAAACCCATTTTATAAACCTTTTCCCCCCTCCCAAGGCCCATCGTATTTGTCCACACCCTCCCAGGAAATAGATGGCAAACCCATCTTAATAATTCACCCTGTGTGTTTTATAAAATGCGTATCCATCTGCAACATGGTTTTATTCTCTCACACCATTACTTGTTTATAGAATGAGCAACCAACATCCAGCTGTCTCTATGTTTAAAAAAAATCACTGTTTATAAAATGTTCACAGGAGCCAAACCGACCTTTTTATGAAATGACGGGCTATGTTCAATAGGCTTCTTTTTTGAAATTGCAATATCCGGCAACATTGTGCTTTTTATGAATTGAGTCCTGAAAAAGTCATTTTATAGGTTACAAGGATCCCCGTTTCATAAGGACCTGTGCAAGGGGGATATGAAAGCAACTCTTGAACAGAGGTAAACTGCCCGAAAAGTGTCATCCCTTCTGGACGGAAATGGTGAGTGCACATGGAGCAGCAGGTGTTTCTGAGTCGACAAAGCGGTCGCGCCTGGTCCTAGGTCGAAGGAATGTCCTTAGATAGTCGCTGCAGAGATATTCTGACGCTCAAAGACATGTTCTAGAAAGCATTTAAAAACCACTCTAGCTGTTTCATCTTTGCAACGCCTTGAGTGATATATACTAAATCAGCCCGACGCACACAGCACCCCGGTCTTCTCACACAGTCCATGAAGCGCTCTCACCGGTCCAGGCGGTCGGTGCCGGTCCGGCCGGCCCGATCACAGGCGAAGAGTCCTTGACGAGTGCGGACACCTTTGCATCGAGCAAGGCGACCAACTTCTCCTCGAACTTCCTCCGGTGTCCGAGTTCCAGGGCCGATCCGGCTCCGCCCCGCCCCGGAGTCCGAGGAGAACAACCGAAGCGGAAGTCCTAAGCAGTGGTTTCAGGTCGTGCAGTGAAAAAGCCCTTGTTGCTAAAAGGAAAACATGAGACCAGCATAGACCCCAAACAGTCTCAAAACGATTCGTTTGGGACCAAACCGATTCGTCAAAAAACGGTTTGTTGGTACGCCCTACCTTCCCCCCGGCATCGAGCAAACTGCTTTATCAATGACTTTTGTTCGGCATCGACATCGCTAATTGTTCGGCCCGGCCACAGAGTTCAGGGGCGCGGCCAGTCAGTGTGTCCAGAAGACCCGGCCACAGAGTTCAGGGGCGCCGCCAGTCAGTGTGGCCAGCTCTTTTTTTCGAAGATAGAACCCCAATTCGGCTTCATTGAAGGAATTGGATTGGATTGGAATTAAGGCGTTTTGGAGTGGAGCCCAAACACCGAAACTCCACCTTTTCTTTCATATCTAGAGTCTAAAGATCGCTCGCTATGCCGCATTTGTTCGGACCCCACGGCCATTTTAAGGCGCGCGAGGCTGTTTCCGCGGCTTTCGCTTTCGCTTTCGCCTCTCGAACTGCTCGGTGAAGTCGCTGAGCCAAGCCTCGTGTCGCCCCACGTCTCCGCACATCGACGCACATTGACGGCGCACATCGACTCGCGCTCCGTGAGCAAATCTGCTTTGCGCCCCATGTTGTGGAAGGGATCGGCTGAGAGGACTTTGATTCGCTGCCATTGACTGGGAGTCTTCCCGAAACTCACATCTCGCCTCCTCTTCTGGTGACAGCTTCTGGCGAACAGACACAGGAGAAAACACTGTTCACAGCGTCCAAGACAAGCCGGTCACAAGTTTCATCAGATTCGGATATCAAAATGACAAGGATTTCTCAAACTAGTTTAAACAACCACTGTTCTTTCAGCACAAGTCCAATCATTGGCCTTTAGTAACTTTAGTAATAATTATTCGATATTATTTGGACACAAGACCCTGTGGGACATATGGCCAATTGG